TATATATATTACTTATATCAACATACATTATTGATTGAACTATATTATTATTTTTGCAATATTTTTAGTCCAAATCAATAAAACATTACTCCAAATATCTAAAACAATACAATTTCAGTATAAGGTGCTTCAATATTTAAATGATAATTTGTGAATTAATAAAGTGTTCATTTACTAGGTAGTTTTATTTTGGAAATTAAGGTAAATAGAGAAATGAAAATTGAATATAATAATTAACATAAAAAAGTGTGTTATAATTTAAAATAGTCTCATTTATTTAAGAAAGTAAATAATCAAATAGAATTGTTAACATTTTTGACTTAACTCCTTTAGAAATCGAAGGTTTTTTTAATTTAAATATAATTCAAAATCTAAAAATGGCAAATGAAATTATTATCTTTTTAATCTATTAGCCACATCGTTTCAATTATCCAATCAATCATAATCTTTCCTATTAACCAAGTGATTTCAATCTATTTTATTAAATAATATATATTCTAATTTAAAATTGTATTATTTTTAATCTACTTTCTCTCACCAAATTTAGATAATATAGTTATTATTAAAAATTCTGTAACATTAGATACATATGTATCTTATAATTATCTAATAAAAATTCTAAATTTATTGTTTGTTTTTTTCCATTATTGTTTTTAAATGTTTGAATAATTTATTTTATAGTAAATGGATAAATACCATACTACAAAATAATCCTAATCTCATTAAATTTTTGAATAAAAATGAAAGAAAATTTGAGTTATAAGCAATATATATAAGGGAAGTTTGATATACTTGAGTTTATGTTTGCTGAAAAATAAGCCAATATAAAACGTTAAGAAGCATAAAGAAATGAGTTGAATAGTTAAGGTATCTTTTATTATTGAATTTGTAGTGAGATAAGTTAAAGAAGAATTATAAGCTTTAAAAGAGCCTCATTCATATGTTGGAGATGTTGTAAACAAATGGGAAAGGATAAAGTTTTAGTTAAAGTAAATCCAGAAGGAAAATATGTTGTGACATTAGATAAGAATATTAAAATTGAAGATTGCAAACCAAACACTAGAGTTGCTTTAAAAAGTAATTCTTACATTTTACATAAAATGTTACCTACAAAAGTTGACTCTCTGGTATCATTAATGAAAGTTGAGAAAGTGCCAGATTCAACTTATGATATGATAGGTGGTCTGGATTAATAAGTAAAGGAAGTTAAGGAAGTAATTGAATTGCCAATTAAAAATCTAGAAATATTTGAAAGCTTAGGTATAGCATAACCAAAGGGTGTATTACTTTATGGACCACCAGGGACACATCATACAGTATAACATTTATAATTAATAATAGGATTGCACATTTATAAGAGTGAGTGGTTCAGAACTTGTTTAAAAATATATTGGAGAAGGTGCTAGAATGGTTAGAGAATTATTTGTTATGGCATGTTAACATTCTCCATGTTTGATATTTATAGATGAAGTTGATTCAATTGGAGGTGCAAGAATGGAAGGTGAAAGAGGAGGAGATTCAGAAGTATAAAGAACAATGCTAGAATTATTAAATTAAGTAATAATTAATAATAAATATAATAGTTGGATGGTTTTGAGTCTACATAAACAATTAAAATAATTATGGCAACAAACAGAATTGATATATTAGATGCTGCATTATTAAGACCTGGAAGAATAGATAGAAAAGTAGAATTTCCAAATCCTGGAGTTGATGCTAGATTAGAAATATTAAAATACATTCAAAAAAAATGAATTTAATGAGGGGAATAGATTTAAGAAAAATAGCTGAAGTAATGCCAGGTGCTTCTGGTACTGAATCAAAAGCTGTTTGCACAGAAGCTGGTATGTTTGCATTAAGAGAAAGAAGAATTCATGTAACATAGGAAGACTTTGAAATGTCTGTAGCTAAAGTAATGAAAAAAGATATAGAGAAAAATATGGCTATTAATAAAATGCTTAAATGAATGCATATATATTTCATCAAATGTATTTTATTTATTTTATTATATTCTGATTTTTATAAAAAATATACTTTTAATTATAAAAATTAAACATAAACAATTATTTATATGTGATTTTAATAAAATATATTAGAAAAAAAATAATAATAATAGTAATTTATAAATTACTTTATTTATACAATGTACATTATAATATTAATTATATCAAATGTTAAAAAATAAATTACTATATACAGTTTAAAAATTTTTATATAAATTGAATTCTAGAATTTAAGTATCTTTAGAAAATATTTAATCATATGGTAATAAAATTATTATAGATAAAATATTAATTAATAAAATGTAAATTTAATTTTATTTAGGTTTGATCTTATTAACAATTATTTTTATTCTAATTATTATATTAATATTATAAATATATAAAATTATAAAGAAACATAATCGTGATCATTAAATTTTAATCAGTCTTTATTATTTCTAAATTAAAATAAATAATAAGAAAAGTAATTATCTTAAAAAAATATATTAAAGTTTATGTAATTCACATTTTTTTTTTTCCACATCCTTATTTTTAAATATTTTATTTTGATTATCTAATATTTGATTTTTTTCCTACATAATTTTAAAGAACAAAATCATCATTATCATCAATTAAAATTTCTTCTTTCTTATCTTAATAGTTTTTTTTATTTTATTTTTATGGTTTAACATTTTTTTTATCTTCATCTTCTTTTTAGCAAATATATATCCTTTAGAAATAATCTTTTTTAGCTTTGTCAAATTTCAACTAATTAATACCATTTTCAATATCTTCTATAGTATGTTATTCTAAATTATTTTCGTTTGATTTTTGGCGGTTTAGATCTTAAAGATGAGTTTAACTTTAAATTTTTTTTTAATATCTTTAACTCTATACCTACTATTTTAATTCGTCTTCTTTTTAATGCCATTTCACTTTATCTTCATCTGTTAAGTTTTTCCAATTTTCAATTATTTTTTCCGACTATTCTAAATACTTTTTTGAATTAGTAGTTCCAGAATTTAGGAACTATTAGTGAAAAAACATATTGAATCCAATACATACTTGATTATTTGTCATTAAATTCAATTAATATTTTAAAAGTTCTGAATTCTCCATAATAATAATTATTTTACTTATTTTAATTTTAAATATTAAACAATTTCATGCTTTATTAAAAAATAAATTCAGTTCAAACTAATATAATTATATTATATATTAATTTATTTCATTAAATATTCTTAAACAAATAAACTCAATTTTAAAAATTCTATTTATTTATAAAAATATCTATATTATATTAAAATATAAAACATATATTATTATCAAATTATTCTGAATTTTTTCATAGCTTATTTTAAATCCTCCATATTTAAAGGTTTATCTAGATGATCATTAGCTCCACATTTTTAAGATTTAATTTTATCATCGACTCCTGTAAAAGCAGTAACAATTATAATAAGAGATTAATTTAATTTTTACATTTATTCAAATTTTCTTATTTCTTGTGTATATAGGCAACTAAATTAATTAAGACTTATTTTAATCTATTTTCATCAGTAAATTAATCGGAGTTGTTTGGATCTACTTTATTATTCCAAATCAATTAAACTCCTTTTTCATTAGATTATCGAAGTAATAAAGAATTAATAAATTTAAATGTATTATTCAAATTGAATGACTTTGGAGTTAATCTTAAATATCCTTTATTAATTTAACTATAATCAAGTAAATCATTAATCATAGATAACAATAATTAACCAGATTAATTAAATTCATCAAGATGAGAGCAAAGTTATTTAATATTATTAATCATTATACTTGATGGTTATTATAAGATATTTTACATTATATTAATACCAATCATCATACCATTTAATGGAGTTTTTAAATCATGAGATACAGTAGCTAATAATCTATCTTTATATTGATCTAATTCTTTTAAATGTATTGATCTAATTTTTTCAGAAATATCATTCATAATAACTAAAATAGAATGTTTATTTTCCCATATACAATGTAATAATCTTATTTCAAAATGTGACTTCATTTTTAATTATTATTTTTAAGATAATGCTACTTTACTTTAATAATCAAATCTAAAACATAAAAAATAATCACTTAAATTTGATATATCATATTCGTTCTAAAGAATGGAAGTTTAATTTGTATTTAATTATTAAGTGAATTGTTCTTCAAATTATCCCATTTTTTAATATAAAACATCATAAATACTTACGAATGAATTATATGTATCCAAAATAGATTCTTATTCATTTTGTATATAAATGCTTTTTAATTTTTTTATGATTTCATTTTCATCTGACACTTATAAATATTTAATTGCAAATTCATTACTATAAATTAACTTCATTTCTTTACACTAATTTAGTAGAATCTTATAAATTATCATTATTCTCAGTGAATATTAATATTGAATTAGGAATTGTTTTATCAAAAATGTTTTTGCATGCATGTATATTTGAAGTTTGTTAGCAAATTGTATAGAAATCTATTCTTTTATAATATTCAAATAATCTAAAAAATACCAACATCATTAATAAAAGGACATAAAATGTCCAATATATTGATGCCAAATTTCCCATTAATCCTATAAATAAAAATGTTGCAGCCTTTAATACTAATCCTTATACGAACCACAAAGGACAAACTAATAAATAACTAATAATAATAATTCCAATTTATATGCCTGAGCTGACAGTTTATGAAGTAGTCTATTTTCCGCATTATGTATTAATCAATTAAGCCTATACATACACATAAGTTATGAGAATAGTTATTACACAACTTAAAAATTCAGACATTGCAATAAATTATTTATAATGTATTCTTTTTATATTAGCTTATGATATCATACAAACAATGTGCCATAAGCAAAATCCCGCTCTAAAATAAGCTCCTAATTAATTTTTCAAAAAGAATTAATTGTTGACAAAATAGATGAAGTTAATGAGGAAATGAATTAAGTATTATAATCGAAATAAGACTATAATTCTTTATTTCTCTTTATTTAAATATTTTTCCTCTTAATCTTGATTTTAAAAAGTCAATGTCCTTAAATTCATTATTTTGTTTTTGGTTCCACATCAGTTGATTCTTCAGGATGAAAAAAGAACTTAATAAAAAATTGATATATTTTTATCATTAATATTAGAATTATTATCTTAAA